TTTTTTTTTTTCATTTCCTTGACTTTTTGTTCTGTTTTTCCAGATATGTGGGTAAGCTTTTTGTGAAGAGCTCCGGAAAACCTATTGAGATACTAGGGAAGTTAAATGAAATGGCTGGATTTCCTTCGGATGAAGAGATTGAACTATTTGAGGTGTGCATTGTGACACTGAATTAAGACAAATTTGGGTTTGACTGAATACATGTATCATGGTGCATAGTAAACCCCATGTTTATACTATTCTGACACTTCCGTAAAGCATGACTATTATTTGCCATGTTTGTAGGAAATAAAATTTGAACCTTCTGTTATGTGTGAACGACTTGATAGAAGAGCTTCATTCCGATTTAGTCAGGTACTACTTTTTCTTAGGATTTTTATTGTTTCAATATGTCTCTTATCTCTTTCACGAGCTCACTCCTTCCCGTCCTTGCCGTTTTCACCAAGATCGAAGATGGGGATATAGTCTGCTTCCAGAGACGCCCTCCAGCTGATCGCGCAGAAGAATTCCGATTTCCTGATGTTCCTTCATTCTTGGAGTATGTGAAAAATCGTCAGGTCAATCTATACTCCCTTACAAATTTTCTTCTTCAAACCTTTTTGGTGTACTTATTGAAGGGATGCAATGCATCATATTGCTCAATATTTCCATGCTAAAGAATGTCCGAAGTTGTGAAACTAATTCTAGATGCGTATAAATAATATAAGTTGTACATTTAAATAAAATTAAATTCAATGTGCATTTCACATTAAATAAATTTAATTGTTCCATTGATTACCTTTAGTCTAAGTTAAACTTCTGAAATTAATAATACAAATTTGAAGTAGTTACCATATAGATTAATCACCATTGATATAGCTATTATTTAATTTGATGCGCACTACCATTAACAAATAACATAAAAAAATGATTAAATGAACAAAAAAGAAGTACTAATTACTAAAGATAGAAATTTTGAGTGGGAAAATGTTCTAGTAATGTTTATAGACTTGCGCCAATTAATAATATAGATATACATGTGTGCTCTGCATGAAGTTATCCATCTGGATTTTTTACATTGTTGTGCCCTGCTAAGGCTTTTCCATCCACTTTCTGTAGTTGATATTAAACGTCTTGCCTTTCACTATTTCATTCACTTTGCATTTTGTCAATCCCATTGAGCTTCCCCCTCTTCAAGGAGTTCCTCTTTCACTTTGCTCGCTTCTTTTCCTTCAGAATCCTTTTGAATGTAGATTCCTTTTGCAGATTGTGCACTTTAGAGCCTTGGAGAAACCCAAGGAAGATGAATTTTGCCTAGAATTGTAAGTATAATGGGTTCCCAATATTTAAGGACCACCTTTCGTTAGCCAATTTTTTTCTTTTTAAATGCTTATTTTTGGGTAAAACAACTGTGTATCCTTTCTTGCATAAATCTACAGATCAAAGAGTCACACTTATGATGATGTTGTTGAAAGAGTTGCCCAGCGCCTTGACTTGGATGATCCATCTAAAATTCGGCTGACTCCACACAATTGCTATTCACAGCAACCAAAGCCGAATCCGATTAAGTATAGATCAGTTGATCATTTAATAGACATGCTTGTCCATTACAATCAGGTTAGGCAAAAATTTGCGCCTGTCTTATGTTGCAGCTGCTTCCTTTTTTGTACATTTTTTTGGCGTGTTGGTGGTTCAATCATAAATGACTATTTTTGGTTTCTTGTGGTAGATTTCGGACATCCTGTACTATGAAGTGCTGGACATTCCCCTTCCAGAATTGCAGTGTCTGAAAACTCTCAAAGTCGCTTTCCATCATGCGACCAAGGATGAGGTGCAGATAATGATGTTTTACTTGTGTGTTCCTTATCAACTCGAGTCAAATAAAGATCATTGACCTAGTCATGTTGTCATTTTCAGGCTGTAATTCTCAATATTCGATTGCCAAAGCAAAGCACTGTTGGAGATGTCCTCAATGAGATCAAAACAAAGGTTTGCTCAAAGCTGCTTGAAACCTGTATTTGAAGCCATGGAATTTGAATGAAAACTCTTACTTTTTGTAAACCCCTGTCCAATTGGAAGAAAAGATGAGAACTAAACTGTCATGAAATTTTTCTTCTCCTTATCCCGACTTCTCTCTTACATTATTATTGTCTTAACCTTTTCAAATTCAAACAAGTATTCTTGATAATGTCTACATCTAATATTGGAGTTAGAATATAGCAGCATAAGATAGACAAGTTTCAGTAACACCGTCATGCATCTTATAATAGGTGGAACTATCTCATCCAAATGCTGAGCTTAGGTTGCTTGAAGTTTTCTATCACAAGATATACAAGGTAACATTCTTGGCCCTAACATGCTCTGGTACTTTATATTCAGAAATTGTCATATGAGGAAATTTGTTAGGGAATATTTGTAAGTTAGTTGTATTAGAATATCAGGAATTTTACATGCTAATCTTGTGAAGGACCTGATCTTGATTGTATTCATTTAAGAATTCGTCATGGAGGCCAATTTCTTTAAGTAATATCTGAGATTGTATTAATATAACTATTTCTCGTTTTTACAGATTTTCCCCATCAATGAGAAGATTGAGAACATAAATGACCAGTACTGGACTTTGCGTGCTGAAGAGGTGACCTCTCTTTCAATCCTTTACTGTGTAGCTTTGGAACTGAAAAGATGGTCTGTTGCATGAATCTGAACATTGTATTAATCAAATCTTGGAATCTAAATAACTGTTATGTCATGAATGAAATCGACTTTTTTTCAGATTCAGGAATATAAGCTTCGAGATTCATGTAGTTTACATTTATATATTTGTGTTTCTCAGATTCCAGAAGAAGAAAAGAATCTTGGGCCCAACGACCGGTTGATTCATGTCTACCATTTCACTAAGGAGGTCGCGCAGAATCAAGTGGTATTAAACTCTTCCTGAGGATATATGCCATCTAAGTGGATATATATATGGATATTAATTATTATTTAAATGTTTGCCTTTTATTTTCCTCAACAGCAAGTCCAGAATTTTGGGGAGCCGTTCTTTCTGGTCATACATGAAGGTGAGACATTAGGTGACGTTAAAGTACGTATTCAGAAGAAACTGCAGGTTCCAGATGAGGAATTTTCCAGGGTATGTTATACTATCATCTTATTCGGATATCGAATGATTCAGAGAAATTTTGTCAACTTTACCAGAATCAATATTTCTGTCATATATTTTGGAGATCTTTTCCCCCGTTATGTTTTCTTTTGATATCTGAACTAGAATTCTGATCATTTGTATTTTTACTGTGATAAACAGTGGAAGTTTGCGTTTCTGTCACTGGGACGTCCTGAGTATCTTGAGGATTCTGATGTTGTCTCTAGTCGTTTTCAGGTCAAGTTCTACTTTCAGCCATTTATTATGCAAAGTGTAATAATTAATTTCGTGAAACATTTTAATTAACATCAAGAAACTTGGATCTCTATTTTCCAGAGAAGAGATGTCTATGGTGCTTGGGAGCAATACTTGGGGCTAGAACATTCTGATACTGCTCCCAAAAGGTCATATTTAGCCAACCAGGTAAAGGATCTTCACTCATATACACATAGACAAAAGGTTTTTTTTTTTTTTTTTTTGTTTAACAGTATATTTTAACGCTTTTCACTTTCATTGTAATTGCAGAACCGGCATACATTTGAGAAGCCGGTGAAAATATACAATTAGAGTTTGGACTTACATTTACCACAAATGTGCCCCCACTTTCATGCTATGGTTAGAAAGTCGAAACAAAAAATGTGGTAATGAAGAGGAGTATTTAAGACATGAAAGCACGGCATTCCATCTCTGGTTCTTCTCCAAAAGTTACAGTGATCTTTCACTTTTGAACATTCTTTTGAAGGAAAGCTGTTCTCGTAGTAGACATATGTTGCTTTTAGTGGTCGGTAGACCACACTCTTCACTATCTTGCTGTTGCCACCTTATGTAATTGGCGGAAATTATAACCTTGGCCCCCCTGTAATTTTTAAGGAGTAACGAGATTTTGTTTCGGGGTCTTGTAAAGTGGGTGTAGTTAGGTCCTCTATATTATAGTCATGTGCTTTTTTGTAGACTACACTGTGTAGCACTGTTTATTACCTTGGTATACCCCATTGTGCTGGCTGTATTTCGTGATTAGTATACAAGGGACCATGATTGTAGAAGAAATAATTTTATGTTGCGTTTTATTTAGTTATATTTGATTTGCCCTAATAGAATGTGGTCCATATTCCTGCTTGTGGGTACATGTGTTTCTAATATTCCTTGATTATTCACGGATAGTAGAGTTGATTACTCAAGCGATCTTGGATTCGCTCTTGACCAATTCAAAGACCTACAAAACAGCGCCTGGGGTGGTCCCGGCATAGACTCTGATGCTCTAGTCAATGAACAGTGATGAGGAAGACAATGATGAGGAAGATGATGTACAGTTAGAATTGCATATAGCTTATAAATATTAGAAGTGCATATAGCTTATAATTATATTAGAGTTTGTAGAGTTTGAGTGATCATACCTCATCTCTTTGTATAGGAGCGTTACCTTGTCGCCTAATATTGTCTGGTTGGACTGCCCGAGTTCGAGTGTTTGAGCTACCCATTCGTACTGTTCGACTGCTCGAACTGACAAATGTTGTTAAGCCACGTGGTGCTATTCACGTGTTCATCTTATCTTAATAATATTTCCTTTTATCTATTATGAAGTGTGTCCACATTAGGTGGTCTAATTGTGCAATCAGTTCGGCTTCCCTTGAACCAGGCTACTCGACCTTCGGTGTATAAGCTTTGTCTCTTAAGTCGCACCTAGACATTCATGCATTCAGATCGAGCTTGTACCAGACTAGTCGAATACCATAGCTCGACCTGTTGTTGAGTTCTTTTACCTATGAGGTCACCATCGACCTGGCAAATCTTTAACTCCTCGTGTTCTTGATGTCTGGCCGACCTGCCGGTTCACCCAATCTAGTTCAACTACTCTTTAGGTCGTTCTCGACCTGATCATCAGAATGCATAAGCGATTCATTTTTATGAGCGATCTTGCTTTATTGCCTGCACAAGATAAGTAAAGTGAACCTTGGAGTGGCAAATGAGATACATCATTTCCCTTCAACATTTAGGTACATGACAGGTGAATTCATGGTTTTTGAAGAAATTTTACAAGGGATTCTGATTTTGTATAGCATAGCTAGTGAGAGCCAAAAGAGTTTTGGGATTTGGCCGCAGTCGACGGCCTCTAATTTTCATTTTCTCTTACCACAATTGCAATTGCTCTTATAAACAAATAACCAGCGTCTGTAGCTCTTTTAAAATTCTCCTACTAGACGTGATTTTGCTGTCACAGCGCAACAAATAGCCCGCTTCTTTGTGATAAGTAGCACTGTCCCCAAATATTAAGAACGAGCGCCTGTAGCTCAGTGGATAGAGCGTCTGTTTCCTAAGCAGAAAGTCGTAGGTTCGATCCCTATCTGGCGCGAATTGCTATTTTTTTATTTTAGTGAATTTCATTTGTGTTATTTTCAAATTTGCATTAAATTATATTTTGTATTTTAATATTCTTTATGTTCTCTTATGTTGATAAATTTTCACAATATTTCATGGGCATGTCTAATTTTATCTTCTGACATTTTATATTTTACTTTCTAGTGCAAGTATTTTTAACCTTTCCTATGCAGATTGTTTTAGGATCTGGATCTTTAGACTAAAAAATGCAGCTCCATAAGTGAAGTAGAT